TAAGTACCTGCTATAATGGTACTTGGACCCTTTGGGTACCATAAGAGTAAGTACTGCAACGCAGGAAGCAGCCTGAGAAAACCCCTACACCAAAAGCCTCTAATCCCAAACACTCACGACCAAAACCCCAAGTCGAATCTTGTGGCCAGTGCTTGTCCCTGGTTACCTGACTGCTTAAACATTAACTTTAACCGTCATTCCATCAAGTAGGTTATCCAATGAGCAGGTGCAGAAATTCTTGCTGAACCCTGTTGTTGGTTAGCTAACCAATTCAATGGCCAGGATACTTGAATAGACCCCCAAGATGGAACTGCAACGGAGACAGTCGGTAAGTAGGGCTCGAAACCCCGAAACCTAAACACTAAGCCACTAAACTCCAAACCGTGAGGTTATCAGGGCAAGGATGCATAGACTTCCATCTGAAGTCTCGTGAGCTCACAAAAGCTGTAGATGATAATAAGAGCCGAACTACTAACATAGCAGGTTACTGGGTTTAGGGTACAGAGCCCAGTGTCACGGCTTCAGGTTCAAGGAGCAACAACCCAGTATGTAGGTACCTGGGCTCCAAGTATAACTTCCATATTATTGCAAAATTCCTGAATTTCTGCTGGCAGTCTGCGTTTAGGGTCCGATGTCTATTTGCCAAGGCTCGCTTTGCTAGCAGCCTCTGCAGCCCTCAGCGCAGATGCAACCTGACAAGCTCGGATCACGAGCACCTTACACAGAAACACATACACATGTGCAAAATAAGCGAGTGATTGTATAACAAAGTAGCAAGTTCCTCACCTGCCGCGAGAAATTCTGGACAAACCCTAAACCCCAAGCCCTTGACGTCGAGACCCTAAACCCTGCCTAGGATTGCAATGCGAACCCTACCTTGCGAAACCTATCGCGCATCTGTCCGTGCGGAACCGAGCCAGGCCAAACTCCAGGAACGGTGTCAGCCTTTAGCGCTTCGGGTTTGGAACGGACCCTAACTCCCAAACTGACTATAGAGTTTCACTCAAGGCACCAACACTCTCAAGCCACAAGGCTAGATCTGAATGTTAGGAATTTCACGTCCATGGCCAAGACCACGACACCTGCAGCCAACACCCCAACTTGCATGAATGATGCTCGATATTTGGCCAGTTGTTGGCTAGTTAACAGCAACTTGTCTTACTTTCTGCTGCCAGTATTCTTGTTATTCTGAAAATGATGATGATTGCTACTGATACTATTGCCAAGAGGGTTCATGTGTGGTACTTTTGTGGAGTTAGGTACCGAAAACCATAACAATGATTGTCTTCGGGGACCTAAGTCCACAGTGGTATTTTTGTTCATGGACCCTCTGGGCTATGCTACCTAATTGCATAATTTATGTTACTTTTGTGTATGGACCCTGTGGGTTCCACCACCTCATTCCATTTTGGTACATATGGACGTTCTGGGTTATTCTAACTAACCGCGTGCTTGTAAGACTCTCCGACGAAGCAGACTTGGGCCCACGCACAGGAAAGAAATGGCGAGGCAGAACGCCGGTTGGCCACGGCCTGTACGTAACGGGTCGTAGGGTTTAGGGTTTAGGGCTTTAGGGCTTTAGGGCTTTAGGGTTTAGGGTTTATAGGGTTTAGGGCTCAGGATTTAGGGTTTAGCGTTTAGGGTTTATATAGGCATTTGAGGATTAGGGCTTTAGGCTTGTGGGGATTAGGTCGCTAAAGCTTTAGAGCAGTAATGCCTTTAGGGTTCGTGGGACCTCGTACAAGCCCCAGCAATTTTCTGACATGATACATCCTGGATGCTATTGAAGGAGCATAAGTATCCCAAGGCTCAAAATAGCCCAAAAGCCTTATGTAGTATGGTCTTTGGGCCCAGAACAATTAAAATATGAGTCCTTAGAGCCTCAGACTCAGGGTACCTTACTTGAAAGAGGAAGATTACGTGCACACAAAATAACTGAGGAAGAGAGGTGTCGTGAACTTGACATGCTAAGCGCGTGTCCGCAAGGTTAAGCTTCTCAAAGCACGAGGGCATGCAGGAGGAAAGGCTTCGTAACAACGGTGACCCCGCAGACGCGAAGGCCCGAAACATGTAGAGCTGCAAGTGGACTTGCGAGCCAAAGCATAGACTTAGAGCCGTCTCATGTCCTGCACAAGATGGCCCAGCTACTGAAAGGGTGCACGAGCACCGACTTGGCTCCGTTGCTGATGTGCTTCGGGCAGGGAGGAGTCTTGAGGGTGCAAGGTCTAGCGTGAATTCAGTAATGTAGGGGCCTTAATAATTAGAATAGGGTTTCGGGGTATATCCTTTAACATATAAGTAAATTTATAATCGGGAACCCCCAAAATAGTTAGGAAATTGTTAAGGCCCCTATATTAGGGGCCTGACCTGGACGGTAAGAATCGGGCCTCTGCAATCCTTTCAGGGTTGAGGGTTTACTTTAGGGTGTCCAAATCATACGAAGCCAGATTCTGGGGCACAAGATCATTTGGCTTAGCCTTGTTGTGACGAGCATTTAAATGTAAATCCTGAACACGTGCTGGCTGAACCTCCTGAACCTCCAAAAATAGCTAAGGTTCTCCTAATTCTACAAGCGGCTGCCTTACCTCCATGTCAAGCCCCTTAATCCACCACCCTTAACCCAAAATCTTTAGCTCTCCAGCGATAGACTTGCAAACATGCCACGAAAATCACATCAAATCGTGAAACAGGCCTTAACCCCAAGGCTCAAAATAGCCCAGAAGCCATGTACAGTATGGTCTTAGGGCCCAAATGCCTTAACATACGAGTCCTTGGAGCCTAAGCGTAATAAACACTCAGAAACCCTTCAGATGCTTCCAGGGCTGGTATCACATTAGGGTTTGATTTAGGGTTTAGGTTCAGGGTTGAGGGCGGACTTCATTCGGGATTCCCCCCCCCCCCCTACCGTTGTCCCACCTACCTTGGGCCTACTTTGATCATTTTAAACCCTACACCCTAAACCCCTAGCCTAAACCCTAAAAAGAACAGCCTCACCAGCCGCAAAGAGGCCCTGGATCGTCGAACCCTCGCTGTTCAACACAGCGCCGGAATCTCCTGGAATCTGGTACTATGTAGGAGCCTTGTGAATCGAAATAGTGTGTTGGGGTGTATCACTATAGTACCTATATTAGATTAACAGGGTTTAGGGCTTGCTTGTTTAGGGTGTGCCTGTTTGGGGTTTAGGGCTTGTAGCAGAAGCCAAAATCTTGCAAACCCAAGAGCCTCACTCCTTAAGAGTACTGAAAAGGGAATCCCAGCACTATTTCTGCTTAATCCGGTTTCTAACTTTTTAGGGCTTACTATACCTGGATCCTATGAAACCTGCCTTTTATTGGGTTCCTCATTTGATTTCCTTGCAAAAGTCCTTAAGAAGGTTTTATATGTGGTGTTAACGTGTAGTTCAGGATTTTCGGCTTCATTGAGGCTATAGTCTAGAGTTTAAGGTTCAGCGATGGGCGTTGCAGGTCGTTGGGAGGCTTTCGGTGGTAGGGTTCAGGGTTTAGGGGCCAGGGCTTTGGGTTTAGGGTTTCAGGCCTAAGAAATGATGCGCATGCCCCGAATCAGCAGTGTTGATGGGATCCAAGGCACTCAGAATAAGAACCAACATGCAGGACCTGGAAACCTAAGTCCCACTATGGACCCCCATACCCTAACTACCCAAAACCCTGAACCCTTAACCCTAAACACTGAGCCCCCCAACCCTAAACCCTAGCCACCCCGAACCCCGAACCCTAAACCCTAAACCCTGAACCCTAAGCCCTAAACCCACCAAAAAGGGCCCCCAGGAGAACCGGGAGTTCCGTTTTCAGGATCCTACATTGCTTCTTCAAGAACGTGGGATCTTTGGGGGCTCCTTTAAGGGTTTAGGGTTTAGGGTTTAGGGTTTAGGGTTTAGGGTTCTCCTTTAAGGGCTTCTTTAAAAAGGATCTACAATGGCTGGTTCCTACCCAGATCTTCCAAGATTCCTTAGTAAAGGAGCATAATTCAAATTAGAATCGAACCCCTTATGTGATTCTGGTAGTGTTCCTTAAGGTAGATTGGACGATCTGGGGTAATATTCACCGTGTCAAAGGCCCAAGTTCCAATGCATGCCCCGAGGGCTTAGCATTTCATCTTCCGGTAACCCATGACCCCTAAGGCTCTAAGAACTCATATCTTAAGGCTTTTGGGCCTAAAGACCATGCTATGCAAGGCTTTTGGACTATTTTGAGCCTTAGGGGAAGATCCGCTGAACGAAACGCTGTGCAGCATAAAGGTTCGCGGCCTTAACAATTAGAATAGGGTTGTGGGGTATGATCCGGGGCCCTACAAATGTGTCACAAACTGATGCCTACACCCTAAACTCTAAACCCCCATTCAGACTTCCATAGCATACTCCCTTGCTGGGAATCTTTTCAGTTGTCCTAAACCCTGACCCTGTACACCCTAAGAGTCCACGTACCCAAATAGTATATACTTTGACCCCTAAGTACATATGCCAGGACTACTTTTATGGAACCCATATAAAATCCTTACAGGAACCGCTTAACCCCTCAACCCAGAGGGTACTTGCCCTTATCGGACCCTCATGGTACCCTGAAAGGAGCCTAAACCCGAAACCCCTAAAACCCTAAACCCCAACTTAGGGCCAGAGATCTCAGGGATACCAAGCCAGCCTTCCACCACAAGGCCGCCATCACAGCAAAGAAGCGAGGGCCTCGTCTAACTCAAAGGGTTCAACCCTTAGGGTCCATATATACTACCATTATGGATTTAGGCCCCCCAAAACCTAATATGAATGGTCTTTTTAGACCTAATTCCATAATGGTAGTATATATGGACCCTCTGGGCAAGTAGCAAGATGGTAGGGTTTAGGGTTCAGGGTTTAGGGCTTGCAGGGTTTAGGGTTTAGGGTTTAGGGTTTAGGGTTCAGTGTTTAGGGCTTGCAGGGTTTAGGGCATGTGCTTTGGCCCAGAAATATGTACTCCACTACTTCTTGGAATGCAATGCTTTCGCACAAAATAGCCCAACAGCCTTATATAGTTTGGCCTTAACCCTAAACCCTAAACCCTGAACCCTACAAAAGCCTTAAAATATGAGTCCTGAGAGCCTTCGGGCAAACCGGCTCGTTGATCCGAAAGCCGGGTTTCTGAAATCCTAGTCCCTACCCATAGGCTCCATACCGTAGTAGTTCCTTTTTGGGGATTACCTTATAAAATCCTAAACATAAGCCAAAAGAGAGGAACTATAGTGGAGCCTATGGGTAGTTCCGAAGTCCGCACCACAGATCCCCAATCCCAACGTGGTGATAACTGCTGCATCTTAGGTCCTGGATTGTATAAACCCTCGATGGTTTACTTTTAATGTCTCTTAAGGGTTTAGGGTTGATGGTTTACCCAGGGGCTCCATAGTAGTTCCTTTTGGGAATTACCTTATGGGATCCCAGATATGAACCACAAAAAGGAACTACTATGAAGAGCCTATGGGTACTTTGAATGTCTCTTCAGGATGGTGTTTCGTAGGCATTGCTCTTGGGTTTGTACTCGCGGATTTACATGGTTTCTAAGTAAGGGTTCAAGTGCCCAAAACTCTAAAACCCTAAACCCTAAACCCTAGACCCTAAACCAGATGATACTACATACTTGGGGCTTAGCCTTCCAGTGTAGAAATCCTTTCGAGGCCAAAGTCGATAATAGAAAAGTAGGGTTCAGGGTTTAGGGTTTAGGGTTCAGGGTTCAGGGTTCAGGGTTTAGGGTTTAGGGATCAGGGTTCAGGGTTTAGGGTTAAGGGTACATGGAAACTATAAAACTTAATAGCAGCAAACACTACAAGAAACCCCCGAAGACCCGATTAAAAGCCTGACGAACCTTAAGTAAGTGTGGGCCCTTAGACTACAGCGGAGCTGCGGGAAGCTAACAAGTCCTTGGCCTCTGTTGAGACAGCCTTCTGTTTATGGATGACATGTCGGCTAACACATGGGGCAGACACCTCTGATCCTAACAACATCTGAGATTGCATGGTGACGCATAGCGGCCTTGTGAATTGCCAGCGCGTGCCATACCCTTAATCCCAAAGCACTGAAGCCCAAACGCTACGTCATCCGACACTGAAACCGCAAAGAGCTTGTCGTTGACCCTCGAACCCAGCCCAAAGAGTTCTAAATCCAAGACAGACATCTGGGTGAGGCGCGTCACGTCGGTCAGCCAGCACGGTCGATCCTGCGGCCGTAATGATGCCGTAGTGCTTAGCGTCCAAGTCTTAGTAGCTGGTTGTCATAATACACTACCCCAAGCGCTCGACTTGATTTATTGTTAAGTCGACATCCTTACCTTAGAAACATACATTGACTCGATTTATATTAAGTATGCGTCGAATCACTCAATCCATGCATTAGATAGCCTTAAGGCTCAGGACCCCTAGTTCCGAAAAGCCAGGGTCCAGCCGCGGAGTAGCGACAGAGGTGGACGAGGAGGATGGTGCATAGCCTGCTGGCCATGAGGGTCATCCAGACCAACAATTACATGTGTATTATATATATATACACACATGCATGTTTATGTGTGTATATATATATATATATCAGCAAAAAATGTATGTGCAACAAAGGGTGTAGACAGATAGGTAAACAGATGCAGGAAAGACCGATATAAATAGAGAAATAACGAAATAAATAAAGATAGATACAGCGACAGACGGGCAGGTATATAGATCGGTAGATAAGTAGGTCGGTAGATAGGTAGATAGGTAGTTAAGTAGTTAGGTAGTTAGGTAAATAGAAAGATAGATAAGATAGATAAGATAGATAAAATAGATAAGATAGATAGATAGATAGATAGATAGACAGACAGATAGATAGATATGCACATAGACAGCAATCGAGGCCCGAAAGAGCCATAGATCGCTAGATCCACAGATGGATGGGCAGGTATATAGAGACATAGACAGATCGGTAGGCTAGACTGGATTAGACTGGACCAGACTCGACTCACATGGAATGTGATGAAATGGACAATGGAAAGATCGATAGATCGACTGATAGATTCGATGGATGGAAAAACACATACATAGACACATGGATGGACAGACAGGCAGGCAGACAAACAAACAGACAGATAAATAGATATGCTTTCGCTTCCGGTGCTTTGGGCTTTCTGAGCGGTTTTCAATCTTCAGGACTAAACCCTAAACCCTAAACCCTGTGACATTTCAAGGATCTGGGCTTGGGGTTTCAAAACCGACTGCTAGAGCTGAACTAAAGCTTACCCATAGGCCCCATAGTAGTTCCTTGTTGGGGTTACCTTACAGGATTCTATCTGTGAAGCCCCAAAAGGAACTACGATGGGGCCTATTGGTAAGGATCTAGGGCTCCTTTATGGGAACGTAAGGGATTTTTTCGAGGGTCTATAGGGTTCAGTGGTCCTTTTATGGATTCCTTTGCGGAGTTTGGGGTTACGGGTTTAGGGTCTAGCGCTTAGGATCTTAGGAAATATTGGGTTTAGGATTTGATGATTTCAAGCCTTTAAACTTACGAGTAGGATTTATAGGGTTGGCCCCCGACCTTGACCAATGCTGCTGTTCTTGCAAGGCTCAAGATCACACGACAACCTTCTATTGAGGCTGCAATCGGCTACAACATAGTATCGAAGCCTGCTGCGCCAGTTCGTTAGCTGCGGGTGTTGCGAAAGCTCCAAATTACCTAATGTCTGCATCGTTCGTGGGCTTTAGACCCAAAATAGCTGGTGTTTCCAGACTTTACTTGGAGTCTAGTGGTTGTCGCAGCGAGAAACGAACTGCGTCACACTCAGGCCGTGGAGATCAGGGCTGTGCTGGCGAAGAGAGTCATACATATAGTTTTGGGCCGGGATTGTGGGGCTTAGGGATCTTGCGAAAACCTGATGCCCTATAAGCCCCAAACCCGACACCCTAAGGTTAGAAGCGAGAAACTGAGAGTTGAAACGAAAGTGCTGAGACCCATCTTCAGCCCAGGCTTGAGAGCTAAGACGTTCGATGTTCAGAAGAGCTTGTACTCTTGCTTGTCAGTTTTTGGCTAAGCCAACTCGCAACATTCGGATCGCGCGGGTGCCTATAAGAGGAGGAGAAGTACTGCTCTGAAATCCCTTCGAAAGAAGTCCCAAGCTAAACTTCCCTCATCAAGTCCTCATCTAACCCCACCCTGAACGCTAAATCCTGAAGGTCTTAAAACTCCTGCTGCATGCTCGAGCCTTCGCCCATTGTGTCCACTTCATCCATCACCCCACATTGTCGGAGGGCCTTGGAGGACGAAAGCTTAGGGAGTTTTTGGCCCGAAGCCCTAAACCCTATATTTAGGGCTTCAAAGTTCCGGGTCAGGGCTTCAGAGTTCTGGGGATCAGGTTTAAGCTTCCCGGCCCGTGCATGCAGCTGCGAGGACTCCGAGCTGTTGTTTTGCTACGGGGACGCTCCAAGATCTTCTCACCCCTTTCCAACAAGTACATCTTATCTTCGGCATCAGAGGTGCAACCCCGAAAGCCAAAATCCTACAGCCAAAGCTGAAAAGCAGCTACCTATAGTCTCCGTTGTAGTTCCTGTTGGGGGATACCTTATAAGATCCTTAATATATAATTGGTTAAACCAACAAAAGGAACTACAATGGAGATTATAGGTACGTACTATTCCAGCAGAATTCGGCAGCTGAAAATCGGATCTGATAAAACCATTGGGTTGCGCTCTCCCTCTGTGTGCATGGCTTCTCCAAGCGAGGTGGCAGACACCTGCAAGGAAGACACGGTGATTGGTTTAGGGTTTAGGGTTTAGGGTTTAGGGTCGTTGGGCTTAATTAGGAATGATAGAGCGCAGGCTTGGTGGCTTGGCTTGCGCTTATGCTTTCCAGCTCTTGTGGTTTCGATCGGGAAACACCAAGATGTAATTTGTGGGCCTAAACCCTAATCTAAACCCTAATTGTCCCTAAAACTCTAAAACCCTAAAACCCTAAACCCTAAACCAAAAACCCCAAAACCCAAAACCCAAAACCCTAAACCCTAAAACCCCAAACCCTAACGTTGCGTTTTAAGCTTAGCTTGTGTTGCTGTTCTCAGCTGGGCATCGGGGCTGAGGCTCTAGTCCCAATATAACTCTTGTAAAACGGTTTAGGGTTTAGGGTCTCAACCTTAAACCCAAAACCCCTAAACCCCTCATACTGGCTATGAAGGCTGCTGCAGTTTTGGAGATTTGAGCCCTCAACTCGGGGGTTGAGGCTTCGGGGTGGCCTCCAAGCAACACTAAACCATGAACCCAAGCTGTGCGACCCCCATTTGGGTAGTTCTGTAAGTTAGGGGCCCTTTTGGGGGTGTCTTTTCTTCATTCAAGAAGACGCCCCAAACCCTGAAGCTCAATCCCGGAACCAGCCCTGAACCCTTGTATCCTCTAACAAAGGCTTTTGGTTCTTGTGGCTTGGGGTGTCTGGTCCATGGTATTATGTACGTACTCAACATATATAATGATAATGGTCAACTACTGAAGCCACGTGGGATGCTATCCGTTCAGGGCGCTCAGGGGTTCGGTTGCAGAGCCTGGGGGGTTCTTGAGATTCCCAAAGGGTCCTATGTACTGTTATGGGGGATACTTCCCTAAATCATAAGGGTAATTCCTGGTATAGAAACCCGACATCCGGCTGTATACCCATAGGCCCCTAAACCCTAAACCCTAAACCCTAAACCCTAAACCCTAGGCTTCTGTGTAGGATCCTAGTAGGTAATCCCCAAAAGGAACTACTATGCGGCCTATGGGTATAAGTACATAGGACCCTTGGGGATCGCGGGTCGCTGAGCTTAAGGTTTAGGGTTTTTTGGGTTTAGGGCGTCAATGCAATATAGGGGGCGTTAATAATTAGAACAGGGCTTGGGTCATATTATACTATAGTTAAAATATGGAACCCCCCAAAACCCTATGCTAATTAAGGCCCCTACATTACCCCTCGCACACTGAACGGTGAGCCCAAGACCTGCAAACCTCTTACGAACTTAGTTAGCGACAGGCTCTGAGCCCTACCACTCCGAAAACATGGAGCAAGCGACTCGACCTGGACCCCGAAAGTCCCGAAAGTGTCCTTCGGTAATCCTCATGCAAGGAATGTCCCCTAAACCCCTAACCTCTAAACCCCTACACCCTAAACCCTAAACCCCTCGTCCCATCGCCGTCACACCAAACGAAGAGCAACCACTTGGAACAAAACACGCAGCCCTACAAGAACCCAACGCGACTGACTACAGCAAGGTGATACTATTCCCTAAACCCAACCCGCGCACATCTCCCATGTACCCAAACAGTATATAGCTTGAACATCTATATAGGGGCTACTTTCAGGCCAAAGTATGGGCACATGGACCCGTTTACCCTAAAAATTTTATGGACCCTTATAGGACCCCTTAAAGGAACCCTCTAAAGGAACCCTATGAACACTTCATATAGGGGCCTTAATAATTAGACTAGGGTTTTGGGGCCCATTACACTACAATTATAATAAGGAACCCTGAAGAAAACCTAGGTAATTAAACCCTAAACCCTAAACCCTAAACCCAGTAAGTATGAAAGCCCCTATATTCGGGAACCCTTAGAATAATGTAGGTAATAGAACCCTAACCCTAAAACAAGTAATTATGAAAGCCCTAAACATTAAACCCTAAACCCTAAACCCTAAACCCTAAACCTGCCTGCATGTCCTGTGCCAGCACGGCAAGGCTTTGGCGCGCGGCCGTCGGAGGCCCAGACCCCCGCCCAAGGAGTCGACATGTGCCTCTTGGGTTTAGGGTTTAGGGTTTAGGGTTTATAAAGGGTTTAGGGTTTAATAATTACCCAAAGGGTCCAAGTAATAGTATTTTATATACTTTGGGGGCCCAAATACCTACAGTACTAAGTACCTACTATAATGCTATTTGGGTTAGCTATAGTATGTATGTATGTACGTATGTATGTATGTATGTATGTATGTATGTATGTATAGATAGATAGATAGATAGATAGATATATCTATATATATATATATATAGATACATGTGTGTATATATATATATATATATATTGATTACATGGTGTTAAGGGGGAGTTGGTTTTAGGGTTAGTTTCGGAGCAATGGGGCTTGGCAGGGCTTCGTGTTCAGGTAGCGGCTCAGTGTGCAGGGTGAGCCGCTAAGAGTGGAAGGGCGGATGGCCGTAACAACATCTCCAGGTCCAACCGGAACATACCTGAAAAGTCATCCACGAGCATCTGGTATGCAGGGTAGAGCTTCGCGCTAGGGCTTGTGGTTTAGAGCCTTGCGTTTGGGCAAGCTGTGTGGTGCATCTCAGCAGCCCATTACTTTTCTGGGCATCAGCCCTAAAAGCCTGATGAGCCTGATAGATCGGTTTAAAGTTTTGTTGTTAGGGTTTAGGGTGTAGGGGCTTGATAGATCCCTTGAAGGAGCCCTTGAAAGACGCCTTACTGTTACTATCGGCTTCTTCATGAACCCTTCCAGAGCCCACTATAGGTACCTTTATAGTCATCAGCTAATGGACTTATAGAACCCTTTAAAGGAGCCCATTTAAAAGGAACGCTATTCAGGAATCATTACTTCTACATCCCAAACCTAAATACTAAACCCTAAATCCTGAACCCTGAACCCTAAACCCTAAACCCTAAACCCCTAAACCCTAAACCCTAAACCCTAAACCCTAAGCCCTAAACCCGAAAGCCTGGACGTTGAAGCATCTCGCTGGCCACCTCGTCCTCCCCACGATCGGAGTCGACCACCTGGTTGCAATCGGGTTTGGGGCTTTCGGGTTTAGGGTAACATGATTCGAAGAGGGCTTTAGGGTAGAGCTGAATGAAACTAGACAATACACCAAGACCCCAACCCAAATGCAAAGAATATTAAACTCAATCTGCCAAAAACCCAAGGATGAGCTACCCTTGATACCTCGACCCGACACCGTGACTAATCCCGAACTTGAGACAAAGGTTACCCCCATCGAGCCCTAGACAATAAGCCCTAAACCCACCCTGAGGCTCAACATAGCCCAAAAGCCTTATATAGTATGGACTTTGGGCCCAAAAACATGACCCAAGCTGCCTGCACCTTCGTTCAAGAAACCCCCAACTTCTTCAGCTTCAGGATTAGGGTAGGTTGGGTGTTCAGCGTCTAGGGCTCAGGGCTATAGTCAACTATAGTCTCCATTGCAGTCCCTTTCGGGGATACCTTCGAGGATCTTAACTTAAAATTTGGTTTAGGATTTAGGATTTAAGGTCCCTAAACCTTGAACCCTAAACCCCAAAAAGAAACTACAATGGTTTAGGGTTTAGGGTTCCTAAACCCTAAACCCCAAAAAGGAACTACGATGG